CATGTATAAATTATATCTCTATGTTCTACTATAGCAATTAAATAAAATTTGATTTTGGGAACTGCTTTTGAGGGATTTTGTTATTTATTTGGCTCTTTTTTCTCCTCTCCCCTCTCCCTTCCTACCTTAGAGAAAGGAACAGGATTCAGAAAACTAGTATTTTCCTATAACTAACAAATGTCAAACATGGCTTTCTTAATCACTTTGAAGATATAAATTCATTTTAATTTTATAATGAGAAATTACTTTTATTGTAAATGCTGTACTTCCTTGAAACCAATTCATTCTTCGTCTATATTACACGACAGAAATCTTTTATTAATTTAACAAAATGGTTAATAATCAAAACAACTGCAATTAGAATTTGTTTTACCATTGGGTTCTTAAACTTATTTCAAATGCTAATAAAAAATTTATAGCATTTTGGTGTTAATTTGCCATCTTTACCATCTTTTTTGCTACTATAAGGCACTTGAATTTGCTGGGATTCAATGCATGCATGCACACACACACACCACACACACACACACACACACACACACACACGTCCCCCTTCCTCCATCACATAATAACATTTCAAAAGATTAAGTCTTTCTTTAATTCCTTAACTGACTGGGCAAAGAGCTGCTTTTTCTCACCCAACACGTTGAATACTGAAGAGCATTTAGATTTTTCTGGAGCAATTTCTGATCTGCTGACATTTCAGAGGAAACTTTTAAAATTTTGCTTCAAAAATAAGTTGTCTTTTTTTCTTTCTACTGCATAGCCTGATCGGGATAATCAGATACGGTATCTGTGAAAAAGAATTAGAAGTTCTGTAACGTGCCATGTTTTGAAAGCTACCTCATTAGTGGGAGTAGTTTGGCACTTTGTGCTTAGTAGTAGATACACAAATTAAGAATGAGCAATTTCTTTTTCTTTTTTTTTTAAAGATTTTATTTTTAAGTAATCTCTACATCCAACGTGGGGCTCAAACTTACAACCCCAAGATCAAGGGTCACATGCTCTACCGACTAAACCAGCCATGGGTCCCAGGAATGAGCAATTTCTTTAGCCTTGAGGAGTTCCAGCCTGTGAAAAAATTATCTGTGGGAGACACTGACAAAGTTAAGACAAGAGTAGGAGAAGGAACCAAAGGAGAGGAATAATAATGATGATAATAATAATAATAAAGGAAAAGGGGAAGGAAGGAGTTGATGGAATGCCACCAAAAATAATATTAACTTCTCTTGTTTTGTTTGTTTTTTAAAGATTTTTTTATTTATTTGTCAGAAAGAGAGAGAGCACAAGCAGGGGGAGTGGCAGACAGAGGGAGAAGCAGGCTCCCCGCTGAGCAAGGAGCCCAATGGGGACTCCATCCCAGAACCCTGGGATCATGACCTGAGCCGAACAAAGGCAGATGCTTAACCGACTAAGCCACCCAGGTGTCCCTTAACTTCTCTTGTTTAATCAATTTTATCATCATATCTATTTCTGGCCAAGTTATTTATAAAACATCACAGCTTAATAAGAAATTTCCTACAGGGGCGCCTGGGTGGCTCAGTCGTTAAGCGTCTGCCTTCGGCTCAGGTCATGATCCCAGGGTCCTGGGATCGAGTCCCACATCGGGTTCCCTCCTCCGCGGGAAGCCTGCTCTCCCTCTCCCACTCCCGCTGCTTGTGTTCCTGCTCTCGCTATCTCTGTCTCTGTCAAATAAATAAATAAAATCTTTACAAAAAAAAAAAAAAAGAAATTTCCTGCAAAAAAAAATCTTGTTTGAAGGCTCCTTTCTTTCCTGAAAGCATGAATAAATTTTTGCTTTAAGAGAAGAAAATTGCACATGGATTTTGTGCTTTGGGGATATTATGCTGGTCTCTTAAGTTTGCTCAGAACTCAGCTTAGATTTAATATGCCTTGTAACTGGAGGTAGAAGTCAACCTTTGACTTGAAATTAGAGACCAAGTAGTACTTCAGAAATGATACACAGCCTACCAAATGTAATTAGTATACAAGGGGTACCAAGGCAATAAATTTGGGGCCAGCTGCTCACTTGAAGTTTTGCTTTTTATTTTCCATATTAACGAATGATTCCTGAAGTATTTACAGAGGTAATTTAGATACATTAACGTTACCTTCAGCATCATGAGGCTAGGGGCCATTTGATGAGTATTATAACCATGCCTTTATCATGTTCAGTTGTTCTGGGGGCCGTAGGGTCAAGGGGATCTTGGAGGTGCTGGGGAAATACATCTTAAACCTTGGGACTCTCCACTCTGTCCCTCCCTTCAGTCCTCACTGAGCTTTTACCAAAGTTATAATCTTGGCTTTATCACTATTTGTCCACATTTCTGAATGTTCACCTTTATATTTATAATAATAATTTATATTCAAAATCTGTAACAATTTTAATAGTAAGAGGATTGTATCTAAATTCAGTTCTTAATTCCATTGAGATAATATATACATGAACTCCTTATAGGAAGTAAGAATACCAGAAGAGTGGATTCTGAAGACAGTCCTGTGACTGACTTCTACATCTGTTAATTATGATTTTCTAGAAAGAAAGCATTTGTTGTAGAAAAGAAGAGCTTAGAATTAAGCCAAGAAATTTAGCTGTTTTGTTTGGCTTTTTCTGTCTGTGACTGTCTTCTCCTTACCTCAAAAATTCCAAACACCAACTCCTTCAAAAAGTAAAATGAGGGGTGCCTGGTTGGCTCAGTCACTTACGTGCCCAACTCATGATTTCAGCTCAGGCCGTGATCTCATGGGTCATGAGATAGAACCCCATGTCAGGTTCCGCTCATCTGCAGTCTGCTTGGGATTCTCTCTCTCCCTCTCCCTCTGCCCCTCCCACCACACTTGCATGCCCATGCGCACTCTCTCTTTAAAAAAAAAAAAAAAGGTAAAAGGAGAACCCCTTGAACAAGCATCCTAGTGAATAAACAGTAGGAAGGTGGATGGTTATTTTTCCTCTTGCCCCTAAGGAGAAGTTGAGCTTCAAATCTGTTCTGGCAAACAAAATTCTAGCCTTAAATTTTATTTTTCTCCCAGTTTTTATTTGAGAAACTATATGGTAGTTGAATGAAAGAAAATTAGAAGATCGAAAATATGTAATGGACCCTCAGGAAATATGAATATTCTTTTATATCTCTGGATTTCCTTTAACTCCTTAAGCATGTGCTTACGTTTCTGTATATCTCAAAAAACTGCTTGTCTTCAATAGCATCAAGGCAAGGAACTAGTTGGTCCCTGCTTACTAGTATTTTAGGCAAGCATCTTCACATGTTACTTAACTATCTTTATAACTAGCTCTGATGTCTGCATAAATTCCTTCAGCCTAAAATACCGTATTTATTTAAGCATCTCATCATTGTCTGCTTTTAATATTTTCTCCTGCTCTGATTTAGACACTACAATACACAGTGGTGAATGATACATTTTAAGTATCTATACCTACCCATATTGTTTTTTATTACAAAATAATTTTGGACTAATTCTCAGACAAAACATTTCTGGTTCAAAGGTTTTAATTAATATGTGTTTTAGTGATAAAATTTCTTTAAAACAAGGATAAGAGTTAATTAGAAGGATTTTGGATGTCTTCAAATCTTCAGCTTTTAAATTAATTCTGAGATACATTGATTTTTTTTTTTTTAAGGAATGTTATTGACTTGCCAGTGCTCTAGGAAGACATTAAAACCAACAGGCTTCTGGCCTGGACACCAATGAACACAAGTTGGGTGTTGGACCCTGAAAGGACTTCTGGGCAAATACTACTATTTGGAGTTGGGGTGGGGGGTACCAAAGGCTTAGCAGGAGTGCTTTAGGAAGCTATTATCCAGACAATGGGGAAAAAGGACACTTGAGAAGTAACCTAATAGGTATAAATTGAGAACAGGCCTTACACATACGAGTGGAGAGATGCTAATTATCTGGAGTTAAGTCAGATAAGATTTTCTAGGGAGATGAGATTTTTTTTTTTATTTTTAATTTTTTTAAAAAGATTTTATTTATTTGACAGAGAGAGAGCAAGATATAGATCACAAGCAGGGGGGAGGGGTAGAGGGAGAAGCAGACTCCCCCATGAGCAGGGAGCCCGATGCAGGACTCGATCCCAGGACCCTGGGATCATGACCCAAGCCGAAGGCAGCCACTTAACCAACTGAGCCACCCAGGTTCTCCTGGGAGATGAGATTCTTATGTAAAGTCTCTAGTATATCTTCTAAAGAGATGCTTTTCTAGATGCTAACCCAGGTCTGCCCCCAATTCTGTGCCCCAAGGCTTTGTCCAAAGATGTATAAAGAAGAGATACTTTGTTTCATAAAAAAATTTTTACCTATTTTCTGTACCTATACATAAATTTTGTGTATGTACGTGTGTGTGTGTATATATATATACACACGGGTATCTATAAATATAGTGCATCTCTTACTTAATCTTTTACTCAATTTGCCCTATGATGGAGCACTGTTCCAAATAACACTTAAACTTGTTCCTCAGTAGGAGATTTTGGTTAATTCAATAGTCTCAAGCACGCTTTTGTTACACTCCTTCTGGGAGAAGTGATGAGAAGTGACTTTTGCCTCCTCCTCTACCTGCCCCCTTCAAAAAAAAAAAGATGAAATCTCATAATTTTATGAGAGGTTGTTTTCAATTTTTGGCATGCCACTCTAATGCGGTCTTTCAAGAAATAACAAACAAAAATGAGAGGTTCAACTGGAATTCTATTTAACAAGGCTTTGCTAAGGCATAGTATTCTACACAGCAGGAAGGCAAAAGGAAAAATAGCTACATTCACCCCAGTCATGATTTGGAAAGATGACACAAATGTTAGCTATTATAGGATTTGTATCATACAGAAGAGAAAATAATTTTATTGATTCAAACACAGGAGTTCTCCAGCTTGGAAAACTGAATTAAACTCTTGCACTTCCAAGTTGAGAACTTGGTAAAGTTGACAGTCTCGATACAGAAACATAGTGTAACAATATATTCTACATTTATTTTTTTTCCAGTTATAGATGAAGCAACTTGCAAAATATTCTTGAAATATGAAGCAAGAAGAATAATATTTAAAAGTAATGTGATCATTATACCCTTTTATCCATCAAAGTGGCTTCATTCCACTCTCTCTCTTCTGTACTTAGATCTTGCATGAAATATTGGACAAGCCGAAGTGTTTGGGAAGAAATTTTCATAGTCATTAATCTTTGCAATGGGTGTGCTCAGGTTCCAGCCTATCTTCTTTAGGAGTTTTGTGGGGTCCAGCGGAGTCACCCAAGCAGTGCTCACCTTCCTTCTGATTCCATGTTGCTTGACTCAGGAGTTCAGAGCACCCCCTTTTATCCCCAATGTATCTTTCCTCTGGGGCTGGAATGCCCCAACTGAACTTTGTGCTCAAAAGTTTAACGTGCAGCTAGATCTGAACCTTTTCTCTTTAGTAGGAAGCCCTCGAAAAAGTGCCACAGGACAAGGTATTACATTATTTTACGCTGACAGACTTGGCTACTATCCTCACATACATGAAAAGACTGGCAAAAATGTGAATGGAGGAATCCCCCAGGCTGGAAACTTAAAAAAGCACTTGGAGAAAGCCAAGGAAGATATTGGCCATTACATACAAAGAGACACCACGGGCCTGGCTGTTGTTGACTGGGAAAACTGGAGGCCTGTCTGGGCAAGAAACTGGAAACCTAAAGATATTTACAAGCATCAGTCTATTGAGTTGGCTCGGCAACAACATATAGAACTTAATGCCACAGAGGCCGCCAAGATAGCCAAAGCAGATTTTGAAAAGGCAGGAAAATGTTTCATGCAAGAGACCTTAAAACTGGGAAAATCCCTTCGGCCAAATTATTTATGGGGTTATTATCTCTTTCCTGACTGTTACAATCATAATTATAAGACCCCCGGTTACAATGGAAGTTGCTTTGATTTAGAAAAGAAAAGAAATGATGAACTCAACTGGATGTGGAAGGAAAGCACAGCCCTTTTCCCATCCATTTATTTGAATAGCAAATTAAAATCTTCTCCATACGCTGCTTTCTATGTCCGCAATCGTGTTTGGGAAGCCATCCGGGTTTCTAAAGTATCCAGTGTTAAACATCCACTTCCAATTTTTGTATATACCCGTCCAGTTTTTACTGATGTGTCTTTGAAATATCTTTCTGAGGTGAGTAAATCAAGGTGTGAGGCCTATGAAGTAGTATCCACAAAAGGCATTTAGTGGAATTCAACATCATTTTTGAAGGGAGTGAGATTTGGCTTTTAACATCCTTTACGAATATGCACACAGGTAGTTCTGCATTGTTACATAAATGCAAAATAAGAATATATTTTATTATTTATTATTTTTTTAAAGATTTTATTCATTTATTTGACAGAGAGAGGCACAGCGAGAGAGGGAACACAAGCAGGGGGAGTGGGAGAGGGAGAAGCGGGCTTCCCATGGAGCAGGGAGCCCGATGCGGGGCTCGGTCCCAGGACCCTGGGATCATGACCCGAGCTGAAGGCAGACGCTTAACAACTGAGCCACCCAGGTGCCCCTATTTATTTATTTATTTTAAGATTTATTTACTTGTGAGAGACAGAGAGAGAGAGAGAGCACAAGCAGGGGGAGCGGCAAGCAGAGGGAGAAGCAGGTCCCCCACTGTGCAAGGAGCCTGATGAGGGACTCGATCCCAGGACCCTGGGATCAGGACCTGAGCTGAAGGCAGCCGCTTAACCGATTGAGCCACCCAGGCATCTCAAAAAATTATTTCATTTTAATGTAATCCTATAATATCTTAACAACAACGAAAAAACTAGGTAGCATAGACAATGTATTCACTCAGTCCTCTTTTTTTTTCTTTCACACGGTTTGTCAATAGAAGTAATTAAAATAACAGAAAAAAATCTGTATTTTTGTTATAGTGGGGTCGTGGTGGCAATAAAAATTGAAATAGTGGGGAAATACTTGAATTATTATTGTTAAGTCAGAATTCTTAGCTTTGGTGTTACTGTCTTATGCACAGCATTTCTATTTTATTTCTATCTGTTAACTCTTTCTGTCACATTCACCAGGATGACCTTGTGAATACAATCGGTGAAACGGTTTCTCTAGGTGTCTCTGGAATGATAATATGGGGAAGCCTCAATTTAACCCAAAATGTGGTAAGTTGAATTGATAGGAAATAGATGAAAACATGTATTCTTTTAATGTTTTTGAGGATTGCTGTACTGAATAATAAAATAAGTACTATGCTTGGCACACAGTAGTAGGTGCTCAATTAATACTGGTTGCATCAAACTGTCCTTCATTTATGTGGTTATGCTATAAGGCAGAAAAAATTGTACCTGTTTTCCACTGAGGAAGCAGAAATTCAGTGAAATTGACCAAAATTCTCTAGGCTATGTGGTTAGCAAGTGGCCAAAACAGGACGACAAGCTCAGTGTTCCGGCATGGTGTTTGGCTTTTTGTACTTTACTGTGATATGTCTCTTCTCAAAAAACCCATGAACTAGTCAATGAAAGAATAGTCAGTTCTTTCTTTTACTTATTCATTTAGTCATTCAATGGCAGTTTATTACAAGGGTCAGCAAATGACAGCCAGGGGCCAAGAATGATTTGTATCCTTTTAAATGGATGGGAAAAAACTCCAAAAGAATAGTATTTATAATATTTATTTTATTTTATTTATTAGAGGGAACGAGAGAGAGAGAGCATGAGAGAGGGAGGGTCAGAGGGAGAAGCAGACCCCCTGCAGAGCAGGGAGCCTGATATGGGACTCGATTCTGGGACTCCAGGATCATGACCTGAGCCAAAGGCAGTCGCTTAACCGACTGAGCCACCTAGGTGCCCCAAGAATAGTATTTATAATAGGTGAAAATTAGGTAAGATTTAAATTTTAGTGTCTATCGGTAAAGTTTTAGTGGAATGTAGGCATGCGCCTTAGTTTAGGTGTCTATGGCTGCTTTTGCTGTACAAGGAAATAACTGAATAGTTATGGCAGAGACTGTATCATTCAAAACCCTCGAATATTTACTGTCTGCCCCTATACAGAAAACGTTTGCTGACCCTTGGTTTATTGAACATTTCCTATGATTAAGTGCCAGATAATTCTAGATGCTAGAAATGTAGCAGTGAATGAAGCGAAATCCCTTCACCGTGAAGCTGCATCCTTACAAGTGGAAATGCAACATACCCAGATAGGATAATGTCAGGTAGTGACAGGTGCAATAAAGAGCAATGAAACCGTGTAGGCAGGATAAACAGAGATAAAATGGCGGTGCTTAAGATGGGGCAGTCACAGAAGGCCTCTCTGATGAGGTGCTGTTGGAGCAGAGACCTGATGGAAAACAGGGACCAAGTCTCCAAGGGACCAAGTCAGGGATGGTAAGTGCAAGAGCCTTCAGACTGGAATGTGCTTGTCAAAAAAAGATGGAGGAGGTGTGAGCAGAGTGCAGTGAACAAGGAAGACAGGGGTAAGAGTGTGGTCAGTGAAAAGAGGGTCAGATGGAGGGCTTCGTAGGCCACCATAGGGCTTTCACTCTGATATGGAAGGCCACAATGAGGCTTGAGCAGAAGAGTTGCAATCTCTGACAAACATTTCTTACTTAGCTGAGCTGAGGATCTGCGGTGGAGGGGCAAGAGCAGGAGCAGAGAGAGGAAGCTGTTGATGGCTTGGACCATACATGCTGGCGGCGTGGTTTGAATATAACCCAAGAGTAGAACTGAGAGGTTGGACTGAGGGATTGGATGAGTAGGACAGATAAGAGAAGTGGTTAAGATGACTCCGAGGCTTTTGGCTTGAAGGAAGTGGCCTCTGAGATGGGAAAGACTTTAGGAGGAATGGTTTGGTGGGGGCCGGGAAGGGAGGAAGAAAAAGGATCCAGGAGTGGGGAAAGGGTGCATAGGCAATTGGGAATTACTTTTTAAAAATATTACTAAATTGTTCAAAACTTCTCTAAGGGAGAGGAAAAGGAATGCTTCTTTATTTTCCATGGGTTATATGTACTATTGTCTATTTTAAGTAAAATTTTGAGTAAAACTTGTTTTATTGGGGAAAAAATGGCATTTTTTTTCTGTATGGATGACTTGTTTTCATTTTCTCCTAATGCATTTTCTTTAGTTCAAAAAGCCTTTAACTATCACCACCTAATCCTTTTCTCTCTTCATTTTCATCCTCATTTAATTCTCTGTATCAGATCTGTCTTCCCCACCTCTTCAATCCTCTTGACTCAAGAGTAAAGCTATTACATGGACACTGCTGAATTGGAGATCAACTTTTCCTTCTCTAACATATGGAAATATGAGTGACTTAGGTGCCATAGAGAATGTCCCATGAAGCTCATGGCCTGGGAGACTTATCCTAGGACCTAGAGAGAAGAGACTTTATATAGCACTCTAAGACCAGAAGAGACCTTTTGTCTCTTGTCCTCCAGATAGACTCGCTATATTGTTAACTCATTTATAAAAGTACTCAACAGTAGTTCCCATCATGAGATTCTTTCAAAGTAATCTGAGCCCTTCTACTTATTTGGTAGAACTTTATTATCTCTGGCTTGATCACCGATCAAGAGAAATAATATAAGTTTGGAGAAAGGTATATGTCCCATTTGCAAAATCTTTCACGTCAGAAAATCATTTAAGAATTATAATTCTCCCAAATATATTCCTAATTTTCATTCACTGTTTCTCAAATCTGTAAACACCTTTCTCAAGGGTCTTATAAATTCTCTGATGGAATCATTTATAAATTCCCATACTACTTCTTTTTTTTTTTTTTTTAAGAACTGAGAACTCCACCCTTACTCTGATGAGGAGTGAATCAGGCTTTCTCCAATTAGTAGTATGGCATGACATTCTATTTGTCACACCTGTTTTTTTTTTAATCATTATTGCACTTTAATCTTAGATTTACATTCTTCTACCATGACTCTCATATCATCTTCAGCATATTTCATACAGGGACAGTTCTGCAATTTAAATATGGCTATTTTCTACCTAATGACACTGCCTTGAAATTGCCCCCTGTGGTCTCCGTTTTATATATTTCTGCTACTTTTCCCAAATGCTGATTTTGAATGCTGGTTCTATCATTACTTCCCCTTTTTTCTATGCCATTTGTAATCAATAGAATCATGGATTACTCGTCTTATTTCCTCTGATTCATTGACAACTTGAGAAACTGGTAACTGCAGGCTTAATGACTGAAATTGAATTAAAACAATTGTTATCAAATGTAAGCAAGCTATTTCCTTCCATTCCATTTTATTAGATTCAGTGGTATGACAGCCAGCTCCTACTGGTCCCAGCTCATGAGATGTGATTGTTAAATATTTGGAAATTTTGTGAACTGGTTGTTAACACAATCATTATTAAAAATTAAATTACCAAAACTTAGAATGAAATAAGTACTGTCAAAAACAAAAGTAATAAACACTCGGGGCACCTGGGTGGCTTAGTTGGTTAAGCAGCTGCCTTAGGCTCAGGTCATGATCCCAGGGTCCTGGGATCGAGCCCTGCATTGGGCTCCCTGCTCAGTGGGGGGCCTGCTTCTCCCTGTCCCGCTCCCCCTGCTTGTGCTCTCTCTCTGTCAAATAAATAAATAAAATCTAAAAAAAAAAACCCATAATAAATACTCAAAATATATCAGTTACATACTTCACTTTACTATTATCTCTTGAGGAACTTTACATCTACTGTATCTGTATAAGTGGAAATAGTATGTAATAATGTGATTCTCTACACCATACTATCACAACGTGTGCTTGATTTCCAATCACTCAGTGATGTCAGGTTGATAGCTTAAAATTGGCCATGGCAGATGTATTTATACCATGGAAATTGACAAATGCTATAAACCAGGCCTTATCTTTTAGAAATGGTTTCAGATCCTTCCAAAGAGTACATCTTGTGTAGGCTAATGATTCTCAAACCATTGTCATACTTTACTCCTCTTTTTGCCCAGCTCTTGTCTCTGTGGTCACTCAGACTGTCCTCTGAACTTGGTATTAATTCTCATATATCTTGGGCCCAGGGGATACAGTGTTGAAGAATACTGGCAAAGTCTCTGCACTCATGGAGCTTATATTAATGTTGGAGGGAAACAATATACAAACAAGAAAAATATTTGATGTAATAAGTACTATGCAGAGAATTAAAACAGATGTGAGAGTAGACAGGAAAGGTGTCTGAGGTTTAATTAAAGCTGCAATCTGAATGACAAGATAAAGTGACCATGTTAAAAATTAGAGGAAAGAGCATTCCAAGCAGAGGGAATAAGTAAGTGCCCTTTGAAATGAACCCACCATGCTTATGAAACAACTAGTATGCCTAAGGTAGAGTGGGTAAGGGAGAGGTGTTCAAGAGGAAGGAAGGATTACCCCACATCAGGCTGTATATAAGTCGGGAGAAATTGAATTTTATTCTAAACACCATGCAAAACTAGGATTAAGAAGAGGTTTTCTATTGCTGCCATAATAATGACAACACACTTAGTTTAAACAAGAGAGAATTATTATCTTATAGTTCTGTAGTTCCGAAGTCCAGCATGGGTCATAATGGACTAAAATCAAGATGTTGGTTAGGTTGTATTCCTTTCCAGGGGAGGATCCTCATTTGCTCATTTGGGTTGTTGGTAGGATTCATTTCCTTGTGGTTGTAGCAACGAGATGTCTATTTTCTGGCTGGCTATGGCTAAGGGTCATTTCTAGCTTCTAGAGTTCACTGCATTCTTTAGCTCTTGGCCCTCTCCTCTATCTTCAAAGCCAGCAATGCGGGGTTGAGTCTCCTTTACTTTTGAATTTGTTCTCTTTCTTCCATCTCATTTTTTTTAATCCAATCTGGAAAAGTTTCTACATTTTTAAAGGACTCATGTGATTAGATTGAGCCCATCCAGATAACTTGGGATAATCTCTCAAGGTCCATACTCTTCTCTGCAATCATGTGTGTAACATTCCTCTTGCCATGCAAGGTAACATAGTCACAGATTCCAGGGCATTAGAGTATGGACATTCTTGGAAGGCCCTATTCTTCCTACCATCGATGGCGAGAGAGTCAAGTGGAAGCTGCCTCAGCTTGCCTTCTGATCTACTACCATCACTTCCTTTGGTCTGCTGGAGGACCAGCACAGCCAGCTTACTCAGTGGAACTATGGATTATGAAAGAAAGTGAGTGAC